CAATTACCTGAATCACTTCAAAAGGAATTCTAGAGCTTCCCTGGTGGTGCAGTGGTTGGGAGTCCGCCTGCCGATGCAGGGGACGCGGGTTCGTGCCCCGGTCCGGAAGGATCCCACATGCCGCGGAGCGGCCGGGCCCGTGAGCCATGGCCACTGGGCCTACGCCTCCAGAGCCTGTGCTCCGCAGCGGGAGAGGCCATGGCAGTGAGAGGCCCACGTACCGCAAAAAAAAAAAAAGGAATTCTAGTAACAGTATTTTTGTTGATTTGTTGATGCTCTTTATATATGAAGTTTATTAAACCTGTACCTATTACATATCTTCCAAATATTTTCTCCCAGTTTAACCTTTATCCTTTGGTTTGATTTACTTCTTTCATTTCAAATTTTAAATCTGATGATGCCAAATTTAGCATTTTTTCCATTCTAGTTTCTGCCTTTTATTTACAGAAATGCCTTCCCCACTGCCAAACTATCCAATCTCAGGGGATCATCTACATTCCAATCTAGTCCTGGTTCATTATGTTTACTATTTTAAATCTATCTGGAATAGCTTTTGTTAGGGATTAGATTATTTTTCTCCCAGTTAAGCAGCTACCCTAGTATCATTTATCAAACAATCTATCCTTATCCACTGGCTGGAAATAACATTGTTATCATACACTACATGTGTATATAAACTTAGGTTTTTTTCTGCTTTTTCTATTCTGTTCCATTGAGCTGCCTTTTCTTGCTGAAAATTATTGGTATCTTTCTAAATACGTTTATGTATGTATTTCTAGCCCCTTTCCCCATCACCATTCATCATCATTCTGCTTTTCTGATCATTTCTCTTTCTTCTTACAATACTGAGAAATTCTCTCATCATTTTTCAAGTCTTTTTAAGGTTCTCAGTACAATCTATGATTTTATTCATATAAATCCTACAATTTTAGGCGAAGTTTATTCTCTCCGTTTTTATAAATATTATGAAAGATTTTTTCGACTGCCATTATATGGAGAAGCTAAGAATCTTTGTTTTGTAACCAGCCACATTATTAAAATCTTTTTAGTTCTAAGATTTTTCAGTTGAGTCTTTTGTGTTTTCCAGGTAAACAGTACTGTCATCTGTGTACAATGACTTTTGTCTCCTCCTTTACATTTATATTTCATTTATTTTTCTTATTTTATTTCATTGCCTAGTCAAAAATGTTCAATTGCAATAGAAATAGTGAATAGGGAATTCCCTGGTGGTCCAGTGGTTGGGACTCTGCACTTTCACTGCCAAGGGCCCGGGTTTGACCCCTGATCGGGGAACTAAGATCCTGCAGGCTGCAGCACAGCCAAAGAAAAAGAAAAAGAGAAAGAAATAGTGAATATAACTTTCTTTAACGTGAAAATAAATGCCCCTAATAAATATGGAGGCTGTGCCCTGGTTTGAGACAAATATTCTTTACGTTATAAAACCATATATATACGTATATATATAAGCATATATGTGTATTTGTATACGTGTATATGTATGTATATACATTATGTGTATATGTGACGTATATGTATACATGTATGAGCACATATGTGTAAAACTGTGTATTTATACACAAAATTTAGATGAACTGTAAAATCTTTGTCATGTTCCAAAAATTATTCTTATTGGGATTTTTATTGGGTTTGCATTAAACTTAAAGAATAACTGGGGGGAAACGGACACCTTTACAATATTAAGACTCACCATCCCGGACATGGTGTTCATACCCATTTACTCAAATCTTTTCTACTTCTGCGGGTGGGAGAGGGATGGATTGGGAGTTTGGGATTAGTAGATGCAAACTATTATATATAGAATGGATAAACAACAAGGTCCTACTGTATAGCACAGGGAACTCTATTCAATATCCTGTGATAAACCATAATGGAAAAGAATATGAAAAAGAATATATAGGGCTTCCCTGGTGGCGCAGTGGTTGACAGTCTGCCTGCTGATGCAGGGGACATGCATTGGTGCCCCGGTCCGGGAAGATGCCACATGCCGCGGAGCGACTAGGCCCGTGAGCCATGGCCGCTGAGCCTGCACGTCCAGAGCCTGTGCTCCATAACGGGAGAGGCCACAACAGTGAGAGGCCCGCGTACCGCAAAAAAAAAAAAAAAAAAAAGAATACATATATGTGTATATGTACATAGCTGAGTCACTGTGCTGGACAGCAGAAATTAACACAACATTGTAAATTAACTCTATTTCAATGAAACAAATTAAAAAAACAAATCCTTGCTACTTCTCAGTAGCTCTGTAGCTTTCTTCACGCAGGATCTTGCCCATTTCCAGATATGCCTGACCGGCCCCCACTTCCCGACCTGCCTCCTGCCATTGGCTCATCTGGAGAGGAGGTGTAAGGAGAAGGAAGCTGGAACACCTGAATTCTACCACGTGAGTATAACAGCGTGTGTCATTGGCTGGCCAGGTCCCTCCAGAGTCAGAGAAAAATCGACCTACCTTGACGAGCCTTAAAGGGCTGTTTTGGGCACCAATGACCCCTCTACTAGGTTGCAGGCACCTTGAAGGCAGGCCCCATGACTGGCTCACACTGGTCCCCGTGGACCCCGAGCTTGGCACAAAGCAGGTGTACAAGGCATGTTTGGAGTGAGAGAGAGTGAGCAGGTGAAGATGGGAGAGTACAGAGCACTCCGCCTGGGACGACAGGGCCACCAGCCATGAGCCAAGACTTTGGGGCATCAAGGGGGGTAAGGACATACCCGTCTCCGAAGTCCCAGCTGTAGAGAAACGAGGCGGTCTTGAAGAAGTTGCTGGGGTCGTGGAGGAGGAAGGAAACTTTAAGGACTGTCTTGGTGAGGTAGGAGCTGGGCCAGGGCAGGGAGGTGTTCTGGGTGACAACGAGGTTCCCCACGAGGAACTCTGGGACAGAGACCACAGGAGGGTGAGTCCACTGAAGTGGAGGAGGGCAGAGCCACGTGCCAGTTGGCAGGGCAGCCTCTCCCCCACCCGACCTCCTGGCTGTCACAGCCAGGTGGTGGCAAGAGGGGACCCTGCAGGTCACCGAACACAGAGGCATATGCCCCCTCCGTGGACGCTGGTGAAGACTCACTTCATGTGTTACATGCATAGCTCTGCTCCTGAACCCCTTTCACCAGGACCCTGAACTTTCTGGCACAAAAGATGCCCAGGACCAGAAGGAAATGCACAGGCTTTGAAAGCAGCTCTTGGGAAATATTTCAAAGTATTAGATGAGCCTAGAAAAAATGAGCAGTTCTACTGACCGCAGGTCCACACCCCATGTGCTGGGCTGGGTGAGGAACACCATTCCGTGCTGCCTCCTCTAAAAAGAAAAAATTAAAAGCTGAATTTTTAAGCAGAAAGTGAGGTGTACTCAATAAAGCTCATTTGGAAATTGCTGAAAAGTGGAATGAAAAGAAAAGAAACTGCTTATCACGCAAACACAAGCATTGTTGATGTTTTGAAGAATTGCAAAGTATACGTGTGTACATATTTAAGGTATACACATATTAAACACAGTTGATCAAATTGGTTATAGAATTCTGTTTTGATTTTTAAAATTTTACAACCATGAGTACTCCCCCAGGCTACAACAAACTCTCTGTAAAGGTCATTATTATTCATTATACAAATTATATCAGTATACTTAACCAGTCCCCTTATGGTTGCATACTTAGCTTGTTTCTATTTTCTTCTGTTATTATAAAAACTGTGATGAACATCTTCGTGCCTAAACCATTACCCAAATGGAGGTTTATTTCCTAAAGATAAGTTCTTTAATAGACTGTAAACTCCAAGAAAGCAGGGACTTCTTGGAAAGAAAGAGAAGGGAGGGGAGGGAGGGAGGGAGGAAGGCAGGGAGAAGGGGGAGAGAGAGAGAGAGAGAGAGGAGAGCGAGCCAGGGAGAAGGAGAAAGAAGAGGCCAAAGACTAAAATCATTTATAACCATTGATACATATGTATCAGCTGCTCTCCAAAGGGTTCTATTAATTTACACCGAGTAGCAATATGTACTTTACGTGTCCATTTCAGCACAACCCTGCCAGCAGTGCATATTACCGTTTTCTGATCCTTTGCGAAGGAACCATGGGTCTAATCTGCATGTATGTGATTACCAGCCAGGAGTCTGAAGACAAATCAAGTAGGAAAGGTCCTCACCTGTAATAGGGAGGACGAGGACGCTCCTGGCCACAGGCTGGCACATCCCGCAGTCAGCGGCGGTGACCCAGACGGAGACCGGGAAGTCCCCGGGCACGTTCCCCACGACGCGGATGGTGGAGCTGAAAGCCTCATCTGTCTTCCCCGTGAGCAGCAATGGGGTATGAATCCAGCGGAAGCGGTAAAGACGGGTGCTGGCGGGCAGGACCAGGCTGCCATTGTCATCAGCCACCAGGCTGGCCGTGATGGTCACCTCTGCCCCCGTGGTGGCAGGGCCATCGGGGGTGAGGTGAAGTTCATACACGCCTAGGAACCCAGAAACAAAGGCAACAAAGGCCGCGTTTCACGAAGGGGCGTGGCCAGGAAACCCACCGCCACCCTCTGGGCCGGCTTCTGTGAGTCTCTTTTACAGGTGGAGAAATTGGGGCCCAGGCAGGTCATTGACCCGCCCAAGGGTCATACGATTAGTTCATTGCCCAGCTGGGATTCAAACCCAGGCCCAACTGACTCCAAATCCCATGCCCTTTCCCATGTCTCCAGTTTGTTTTATTTTTTCATGCCAGCCAAGCAGGGCCTTAAAGAGCGTGTGTATGCTGACCTGACCCAGCTTCTTAGCTGTGAAAATGCCGGCCAGTGCATGTCACAGGAGGAGCCACTGCAGCTGATGCCAAGAAGTGCCCCCCATCGCCTTTCACACCTTTACGTGTGAAACAAAATTCCAGCTGGAAACACGAAGCTGAGTCTGGACCCTGTTAAGGCCTAATACCTTGATGGTGGTGGGCCAGCCTTGGGAGGAAGGGCCACTGTGATCCAAGCCAAGCCCCCTTCTCTTTGGTCTCAGTTTGTAAATCTGTAAAGTGAGAGCTTCTAGATCTGAGCTGTCCCATGTGGTAGCCACTAGCCACGTGTGGCTCCTTAAGCGTCAATTAAAGTGAAACAAACTTAAAACCCACTTTCTCGGTTGCACTGGCGCATTTCAAGGGCCAGCCACGTGTAGCCAAGGGTCACCATAGTGGACACTGTGGATACAGATCTTCATTATCACGGAAAGTTCCACTGGACTACACTGCTCTAGGGAACCTCCAGGATTCCTGCAGGGGCCAACGCTGGAGCTTTGTGATTCCAGCTGGGTCAACTCCTTGGGGAACCTGAACTGAAATACTGGGGATGCAGCTCTTACAGGGAACCCAGGAATTAGTTTTCTAGGTTGCAAGCAGAGAATAGGGCCTGGAGCACATGGAATGCAGACCAAATAAGAGGCCTTTTAAATAACACTCCCCATCTGACCAACACATTGAAGGTAAGACTAATTGTAATCTGAAAATAGAGAAAGGTATAAAATTTTAAAAATATTTTTTAATAATTAGTAACAACAACTTACTATATTGGGTCATTTCCTACTATTCTTTTAAATGCTGCTTACTCTGAGATTATATATTCCATTGCTGTTGCTCTTTTTTCAATTCTGTACAATAGGCATTTTCCTAAGTCATTATTCTTCACCTGCTTTAGATAGCTGCAGATTTTTATCATACTCACTAGGTAAGATTTTAAAAATCAGATTTGTTTCCATCATAAAAGTAATACATATGCATAAAGAATATTAGAAGTGGGGCTTCCCTGGTGGCGCAGTGGTTGAGAGTCCGCCTGCCGATGCAGGGGACACGGGTTCGTGCCGTGGTCCGGGAAGATCCCACATGCCGCGGAGCGGCTGGGCCCGTGAGCCAATGGCCGCTGAGCCTGCGCTCTGCAACGGGAGAGGCCACAACAGGGGGAGGCCCGTGTACCACAAAAAAAAAAAAAAAAAAAAAAAAAAAAAAAAAGAATATTAGAAGTGTCCTATTACCCTACCCCCCAAAGACAACAGCTGCTATCATATTGCTGTCCTCCAGCTTTTTCATGCACGGAAGTTTTAAATTTAATCAGAATCAGGCCTCTGCACACAAGTTTGAATTACTTTATTTCTACCTGACAATACATCAAAAGGATGTCTGCAGTGGCACTAATGTGAACTTCAGTATTTGCATGATAATCCCTCAAGCAGGTATATCTTAATTCCCAGAACCCTTCACTCTTGTCAATAGCACTACTGCACGTCTTAGTAACTATTTTCCTGTGATTTGTAATTTTCTTTTTCAGGTGAGACTTCTGAAGGGCCTGAGGTTAGAGAATGTCTAACAGTGCACACCTGGGCAGAAGAGGCGATGCAGAAGGAAGGGAGGAGGGCCCACAAGCCCCCCTCTGCTCATTTTACTCCCTCCCACCCCACTTCCCGGCAACATACACCCCCTCCCTTGGCTTCCAGTACCTCCTAAATGCTGATGGAACCCAGTAACACAGACTTCATTTCTACTGGGCAATAATACAATGGCTACTAACCACATGCAATTAAATTTAAATTAATCAAAGTTAATCACTTCAATGTATAATACTAAAATTCCAGTCCCTCCATTGCACTAGAGCCACATTTCAAGTGCTCAACAGCCATAGCTCTCCCGGATAGCACAGATATAGATCATTTCCTCCACCATCTAAAATTCTGTTGGCCACTGATGCTCTAGACCCCCTGGATTTCTCCCCTCCCAAACCTACCATTCTCTTCACCTATCATTCTCTGTCGGGTCAGAGGACCAGCTGTCCCAAGAATCAGCCCCCGGGCCCCTGCCACTCTAATTCTCCCTCTCCATTACTACCAGCATTGCTTAAGGTAGCACTCAGCCCCATCCGGATGGATTACTGATACATCCTGAATGTGACCCTTGGCCTCCAGTCCTGTCCTACTTTCAGCCACCCCAACAAGCAGCTTCCTGCACAGTTAATCTGATCATGGGCCAGCCTTGGGGTGGAGGGAGACCGCATTCACATCTTAGTACATCCATGCTGTAGCTTTAACCCTTTAACACCTGCAGTTCCCCCCCAACATGCTCTGTCCTTCCTAGCCTCAGGGCCTTTGCACACACTGTCCCCACTGCTCTTCTTCACCTATCTGTCTGTGGAAATACCCTCTTCCAGGAAGCCCTCCCTGACACTCCACCCCCCCACCCTGCCTCCTTGGCACTCTCCCAACAGCCTGAGCACACAGTTGTCACAACCCTGGGTTGGGATAAAGCTTTCCTCATCTCCCCCACTGCACTGCAAGCTCCTTGAGGGCAGGGCAGGGGTCATCCCCATCTCCCCCAAGCCTAGCCAGGTGTTTGGCACATAGTAGGGGTTCAACACTGTGCTGTGGAGAGGCACCTGGAGAGAAGGGTGTGGCAGAGGGACCAGGCCACATGGCACTGCCCCAGGAAACTCTTCACCCAAGTGCTATGGACTGAGCCCCAACCCACAGCTGCTGGGGGGACCCAGAAGTACAGGATGTGCTCCCTGCTCTTAGGGGGCTCACAAGAGACCTGCTGGACTCAGCAAAACTGGGAGGTGAGCGAGTGTGTCCTCAACTGCACCCCATTTGCCTTGCGGTGATGTTGCCCGCCCCCACTGGGGACTCTGGCTCCAGCCTTTCCGCTCACCCACGTTACACATTCCCTGTTCTGAATCCCTTTCCTTGGGGCCATATTTTGGATTATAAAGTCATTTGGGCTAGCATTGCAAAAGGGACCTGCAGCACCTTAATCCCAAAGAGAGAATTCCAGACACAGAAGTTTCTCCAAGAAAACACAGTATGTATTTTACACTGAAGGACCCGAGTCCCCAGAGGTCCCCAGGGACTAATGCTACTGCCGGGGACCACACAGCAATCTGCATTGCCCTAGGCTGAGTCCCTCTGGCTGGGAGGCAGCCTTTGGCCAGGCTGCTGCAGAAAGAGGTGCTTAGAAGAGAGGCCATCTCTTCCCTTCCCTCTCTTGCTCCTGCCCACACCCCCCAGGAGAGGAGCGTGGGCCACAGTGAGGCTGGCAGGTGGCAGGGACATTCAGCTGCATGCTAATGGCCATCCAGCGTCTGCAGCAAGACAGGCGCATGTCAGCACGACGCAGATCCGTTGCCAGGGGAACAGAATCAGGAGGGCAGCCAGCTCAGCCAGGAGGCGGGATGGGGTGGGGGTGGGGAGGGGCTGTGGCTACAGCCACTGTTGCAGCAGACACTGGCCCAGCTCCTGGGAGCGCCCCCCCAACCCGACCTGTCCACACGCCAGAGGCTCCAAGGGCACTTTTCTCAGGCTTGTTTTTAAAAAGCAGGTATTTCACAGCCCCCGGGTGATGCTGCTCCTCGTCCTCAGGGCCTAGAAAGCGTCCAGAACATCCAGGCTGAAATGGACTGGGAAGGCTTTGCCACCTGTGGCTGAAGGAACCAAGCCCAGGTTTGGTTACCTACCCATGCAAATCCATCTTTCCAAGTTTGGGAGCCCAGATGACATGGCCTTGGAGTACAGAGCAGCCCAGTCAGGGGCTTAGGGGCGCCACAGGTGCCCCGGTGACCACACAGGTGCCCCAGTGACCCAGAGCTGAAAGGGCTAAAGCAAAAAGTGAAGTGACAGCAGCCACAAAGTTTTACCCGTGGAAGAATGCCCACCAGCAGGCTCCCTGGGCTTCCACCTGGAGCATGCACATTCTCCCTGACCACACAGCCCGTAGGGCCCCAGAACAGTCTAGAAAAGGGCTACATCAGCCTCTTCTCACTGCACATGTACACAGCCCAAAACACTTCCCAAGGTACCTCTGAAGTCTGGACAACACAACCTGGAATTAATGAACGGTCCAGGACACGGACTTCTGACTTCAACCCCTGGTGTAGGAAGCATGTCATGCAGGCTGACTCAGACCCGGGAAGGGTGGAAAGGGCTTCTGAATCTCTTTTTCTCCTGTGAGTTTTCGCCAATCCCATTCCCAGCTATTTGGACTGTATCATGGGTGCAATAGGCCAGGCTGGGAACCACACATGACTTCCAAAGAATTAACCCTCCACACCTTTTTTTTTTTTTTTGGCAATTTAGGCCGCGTTGATATTTCTGGACACATGTAAACCTAATGGACAGGAGACCCCATTTCTAGGGGCAAGTAGATGCTCCTGACCAAGCCAATTCCCACAAAATACCCTTAATTCATCCTTAAGATGCAGGTTTTTTATTTTACCTTGTGGCTTTTATTTCACAAGTTTGCATTAGATCTCTTCTTCTGTCTACCATTCTTTCAAGGTGGAGGGGGGTTAATGAAAATATTGGATAATATTTAACACCCACCCAATAGCTGCCCACGTCCCAACTGTCCCCTTAAAACTCGCCACCCTGGGTCCTTTTTTGTCGCCAAAATGGGGCAGAAAAGTGGGTGTTGGCCTTCGGGCGTTGAGGAGGTGGGGATGTTAGAAGCACGATCCGGGGGACACCGGGTAGGACCCAGCGGAACCAGCTCCGGGTCCATTTTGGAAATCATTCCCAGAGAAGAAATGGCAGACCGGCCTCCTGGGCGCTAAAATCAACACAAGCAGGGTAGAAAGCCTCTCTGGATAAGGCCACATTTTAAGGCAAAAACGCTGCCCCGCGGGCAACCTGGCCGCGCTCCCTGGGGGCTGTGGCGAGAAGACCGACCCCGAGCATTCCCAGACTCCCCTCAGCGTCCTCCCCCCACCTCCAGCGGCTGCGAGGTTTCCAAACATCGGGATGGATGCGCCGGCCACCGCGCGGTCCCTAGGACAAGGCCGATCTGGAGGTGGCAGCAGGAACGAGGGCGCGGGGAGCCCCCTCAAGTGCCGGTGACTTCAGGAGAGGGGGAGAAGGGACAGAGGAGAGGGTTGCGCGGCGCCCGGCAGGCCGTGCTCCGCTCCGCAGCTCGCGGCCTGCGGGGAGAAGGGAGGTGCGCGCAGGGCGCACGGCGCCACCTCCGCAGCCCCGGCTCTCGGCGAGGCCGCCCGCCCGAAACCGCCCCGAGGCCCCGGGCGCGCTGCGGCTCGGGGAGGGCGAGCGGCCGGCTCGCGCAGCGCCTTACCTGCAGCCACCCTAGCCGGGGCCAAGGGCAGGAGGCAGGCCAGCCAGAGGATGCGGCCGAGGCGCGGCCAGAGGACCGGGGCCATGGCGGCGCTGGGAGCTGCTGGAGCGTGGAGGGCACGCGGCTCGATTCGGCTGCGGCGGCTGCAGCTCGTGGGTCGCACGGCACGGGCTGTGCGGGGAGATGCGGGCGCGACGCCGGCTCGTCCTCGCCTCGGATCGCTGTGTCTCTGCGCGCCGCCGCCGGCCACAGTCCGCCGCGCCGACCCCGACCCGCGTCAGCCGCGCCGCGCCCCCTCCCCCCCCCCCCCCCCCC